TTTGTTATGCATGTATTGTGCCGCTTTGAGAATAAGCGTATATTCGTATATTGTGCGAAGTCTATTTCCAAGCAATTGCCTCGTCCTTTTCCTCATCATCCAAAAGATCCAGTCACACTGCGCCACATTGGGGTATCGACAACGTGTCGGCAGGTCTAACTAAATCACCAAGTCCAGGTATCCCAGGGCTTCTGCTACGTGCTCGTTTTTAAAATGAAGTAAACACTGTATTATTTCATTACAGCATAATTTTATTATTCAACTAATTTAACGTAAGCATTATTTTTAATGATATTTTAGTGTATAAGATGATTATTTTCAGCATATATAGAGTTGATGGCAGATGACCCGGCTATAAACTTCAACCGTAACATATTAACAAGCTTGCGTTTGTGTCTACGGTATGGATCAAGATTATTTCTTTTTTCTTTTACTAAATCAAAGTTTTACATATCGCATCCAGTAGAAGTCTATTCTCGGTTGTACTAGTAATGCTTATATGTTTTGAAGAGGTTGCTTGTTTCCTTGTTACATTTATGATGTGAAGAATTTTGTTGTAATGTTCGATTGTATTCAGTTGTCCGTTTTTTTTTTTTTGTTAAGCCTTGTACGTTTAGCTTTCGCGTCTTCTCGAGTCCAAAAATTGTTATTTTATATCGTCATGAATAATTCTTTATTATTGTATAAAAATGGCTCTGGGATGGAAGGTATTTGGTGTGCCAAATAATAGCTAATAATTCCTTTTCAACTGGGCTGTAGTTAGTTTCAGTGTATGGTTTGCATAATACACCGGACGATTATTTCGTGAAAGCGCAGCTCGTTATTAAATTAAAAGGTTACTTACAGTTGGGATGATTTGTCAGGGTCCTTTTAAGGATATCGAAAGATTTTTGATAAGAAACGTCGCTAATGTTTATTTTTGCATTCTGTTTTAAATATTTCGTGAATGGTTTTCCTAAATACGCATAATCTTTAATTAATTTTCTATAAAATCCTGCTAATTCGAGAAATTCTTTATTTGCATCGAACCTATGAATCGGGGTGTTAATTAAAATGAAAGATATAGATAGCAGGGAAACGTTTCAAAAAATTTAAAAAAGTCTGCGACCTAAAAGGAGAAAATAAGCGAAAATAAATAATGTTAAAATCAAGCAAAACTAAATTCCTCAATTCACTTCATGAAAGTCAACTCTAATCGTGTGGCCACATAACAAATGATAATAACACGTTGGGAGAATCTATATTTTGATTTTTGCAAGAATCGACATTTTCTCATTTTGCACATTTTAAAGAAATTGGTGAAACTTTTAGAAGGGTGTAAAGCGAAACTTAATAAAACCTGCACATCCACGGCGTCCCAGTTTCATTTCTTCATTTCTTCACAGTAGCTAAGAAAACTTTCGCCTTATCACTCTCATTTATGACATTGTAGATAGAAATTTCGTCTTTTCAAATATTAATTAATTTACATAAACATATGTTTTGTTTATAATGTTTTGTCAAAAAATTCTCGAAAAATTCTATTTTAATTATATTTTGACTTAAATCCCTCCGAGAATAAATAAATAGCGCGGAAAATTAAATTAACAAATCGAAACTGGCACTTCCTACGCGTCTTAATACATATCACATTTTCGATATCAATCAATAACGATTTCTTTTCTCATCGTTAATTCGATTAATTGTTTCTTTCTCTCTCTTATTGTCAGATACTTAAATCTTTTTAACACAAGTTAAACACATTTTTTGTATCATTATTGCTGTGCTAAATCCAAACAACTATTATCATCTTTTTCATTTCCAACCATTTGGTTGCGTGCAGGTTTATTTTCAATATGTAAATACAGCCATTTGGTTGCGTGCAGGTTTATTTTCAATATGTAAACACAGCCATTTAATTTCGTGCATGCTTATTTTCAATATGTAAACAACCATTTGGTTGCGTGCAGGTTTATTTTCGTTTAAGAGAATTCTGTTAATATGCTGACAGAGCTTTGTAAATGTTCTTTGGTTTGTATCTTTGCTAATTATATTTAAATATAACTTCACACCCTGTAACGTTCGCGAATAAACTTGGGGTAGGGTGTCGGTCGGTCCGTGTCAGCCAAAGACATTGCAGTAACGGCATCCAGTTATGCAAAAATCGCATGATTTTGCGGCACATTTACTTTTTTCCAAGAGTAGCGGCTAGACGCTATACAGCAACATAAAGAAGAAAAAGAAAAGGAAAAGAGAAAACATCATGCGAGGGGATAGTTTTAATTTGAGTTTGGTTCTAGGAGTTGAAGTGAAAACGTCAACGAGTGCGCTTGCTTTTCGAATGTCTTTCGATTGTGCGGCTGAGCTCTGGCTGTTTTTTTCTTTTTTTAAATATGAGCTCAGACGGAAAGATGACCATTAAAAAAAGAAAAAAAATATCAAAGAAAAGAAATTCTTAACGTGCGGAAACGATACAGTCATAAAATTAGCAAAATTGTGATGTGTTAATCATATCGAATAGTCAACTCACATCTTTCAATCAACATTTAAATTATAAATTTACCAAAATCCATTTTTCTAAACCTAACGATACAAATAATAAGCTTATGGATTATTGAAACAAGACATGAGTTTTTTAAACCCATTGTAATAGAGAATTGATAATTAAATATCAAAAGGCTAAAAAACCACTCAAGACAGTTTGAACTGTTCCGTAGCGTTTGTCCTTAAAGATCGTGTTCGTGCGAAATCCAAGTGCATGTTGTTATGCAGTGTGAACCAAAGGAAAGAAGTTCTTCACTCCAAAAAAGAAAAATGTCCTAATTTGATATGAAGTGAGATTTAACAGAAAAATTCATCCAAATTCTGAATCTCATATTAACAATAGAAGCCGTGTACTTGTCACATTTTGATAATCAATTCAATAATTTTTTTAATCCGAATATCAAAAAAGAAAAAGAAAGAAAAGGAATGTAAAAGAAAATTCTACAATAGCCGCCTTGCTCATAGATCGAAGAAAAAAAAATAAAGAGGAATAAAGAAAGAGTGACTGAAAAATGTCTCTTAACTAAAGTAAATCGCGACAGAGAAAAAAAAATATAAAGAAATAAATTTACCATTTCTCTTTGTCTTGCCTTCAAATTTAATTGCATCTATGCAGGTTTAGTTAAATTGCAATAGGGGGTTGACAGTTAAAACTCAAAAGTCAAGAACCACGTAAAGCAAACAAATAAGAGAAAGCAGTACACAGTCAGAATATCGTGTGTTTTTTTAATTCTCAAAAGATAAAACTGCCCTCAAGAATAACGAAGTGAAGAGTTGAGTATGTTGGTAGAATGTACCAAGCAAAGCATTCGCGTATGAATATATTATTTTTAAATATCATTGACGGTATGCGTACGAAAACAGAAAAAAGTAGAAATAAATAAAACAAAAAATATATCTATGTAAATAACATAAAATTATGGAAATTTTGTGTAAAGAATACGTGAACTTTTTATTACAATAGCTTTTGTGAAATAATATACATTAAGAAGAAAATTGTTAATATTAAAATATTTAAAGAAAAAAAAAGGGAAAGAGAATTAGTATAAAGAGACATTAATTTATGAGTCATAATTGGCAGCCAACCGGCCTACATCAGTTAAGAGAGAGAAATGTAAACATGAAGCAAGAGAGATTCTGCTTTTCTTCACAAAAAAAATCCATCAATGAATAAGGTAAAGAAACTTTTATTGTAAAATATTATATACATTTGGGAAACCGAAAATTTAATGCAGAGGTTCGATATTAAAGAAAAAAAAAGCGGAAGAATACATAATGGAAGGTTATTCAATATAAAAAAAAAAAAATGTTGATTGTGTAAACAAATTGTGATACGCAAATAAAAGTTAAGAAAAGTAGACAAGTAAAAGAAAGAAGAGTTTTTTTATTTTTTTCTTTTGAACATACCACGTTAGGTAGAAAAAAAAGGAACACAAAGCGCTTGCTTCGGGAAAAGACTGAGATCAAATCAATTATTCGTAACAAAAATTTTTCCTTTCGTGAATCATATATATGAAAGAAAATAAACTCATAATAAAAAAGCAAAGAAAAAAAGGAGGTAAACTAAATAAAAGCTAATTGACCAACAAGTGTTTCGATGAAATTAATATATAACGTTTCGGAACTATCCACCTAATTTTCTAGTTTAGCTTAACGTAAAAGCTCAGTGAATCTTGCTGTGGCTTACTTCTGTCCTGACTACTCGCTTAGCTACAATCTCTGCATGCCACGCCTATAAAAATTGTATAAAACTATTCAGGAGACGTACAAGGGGGGATGAATGCATATTTTTGATACATTTATATAAAAAAGAATATATATTACATTTCAACCAAACCATTTGTTTGAATATATATGGAAAGAGAATATTCTT